GACCCAGCAATCCCACTTTTGGGCATTTACTCAAAGATCACAAACAAGACCATAGTAAAGCTACCAGCACAACTATGTTTATTGCAGCATTGTTTACCATAGCTAAGATATGGAACTAACTCATATGCCCCTCAGTAGATGAATGGATCAAGAAAACGTGGTATATATACACAATGGAAATCTATGCCTCCATCAGAAAGAATGACATTGCTCCATTTGTTAGGAAATGGAAAGACTTGGAGAAAATTCTATTAAGCCAGGCCCAAAGAAACAGGTCCCACGGTTTCCCTTATTTGCAATAACTAGTATATGTCTTGGACAAGCAGAAAAGGTCAGATAAGATGATGTTAAGCGAAATGAACCCCAAGATAGGGACACAAGTGGTTTTTTATTTCTTGCTATCATTTCTAATGTGTTTATAAGGTACCATGTGATTTTTTTTTTGTTGCTTTGTATGTCCCTCCCCACTTGGTATAACCCTTGTTTTCACTGTTTTTGATGGTGGTATAATTTGGGGAGGAGAAGGGAAAAAACAAATCGTTTAAATGGGGATATAGGTTGACCCATTGCAACAATGAGATGTACAAGACACTATGTTGAAAAAAACGAACTTTACAACTTTGGGTGGGGGGAGAAGGGGGGGAGAGGAGGGCAGGGATGGGAAGGGGAAACAGGAGGAGGCAACAATGCTTGATAAGAAATGTACTCATTACCTTGCTCATGTAAGTGTAACCCGTCTGTACAGTATTTTCACAATAAAAAATATTTAAAAATATGGGATCCAGTGCCTTCTTAGATTTATAGCCAATGCTTCTTTACTAACTGAAGAGTTGCAGAGTATTGTATTTTTTTAGACAAAGGGACTAGAAAAAGAGCCCTTCTCTTCCAGAGTTTCATCTACATACTCGGTTATGGAATCTTTGGTATGTGCCATTCTCTTAGGGAGCAATTCAAATAAGTGAGGAAAGGCCAATGGATGCTAACTCAGATCGGTTTTACAATAGCAGAACACATAGTTATTCTAGGACAGGATCCCCCGCCCTGGACCTACTGCTCTTCTTTAGGGCTTCTTTATAAAAATTTGTTTCTCTTTGCTTTTTTTATCTACCTGCTTGGCATATTCTGTTGGTTACAGTAGAAGAAATGCCCCAGACATTCTGAAACTGTTCCTGTCCTGCCCAAATTCTCTTCCTGACAGGACTACAGTCCAGTTTATACTTAAGAATGTCCACTGCACAAGTTCAAGAAAGGGTAGTGACATTGTCATGTCAAGGAATTTCCCTTCCAGCAGTTGTTCAATGTACACAGCTGCAGCCCAAGGGTAAGGGCAGCAAATTAATGAATTAATGTAATGTAGTTTTAGCTTATTCTCCTAACATGTATACACAAAGCCTATGCCACAAATATGTCGCAACTTCTATTATTTGCATGTTATCCTTAGCTTAAATCTATTGCTAGTGGATGCTCTAAGTGCTGGGTTTATTTTATTGGATATCCTGAGAAGAGCTGTTTAAAAATAAGGATTCCTAGACTCTGGGCTGAAGATTAGGGTTTGGAAAACCTAAAGTATTTTAGGAAGCAGCACCTTCATGACCTACATTTTTTTTTCAAAGACTTATGTGATGGGGCTGGGAAGGTGGCTCAGTGGTAGAGTGCTTGCCTTGCATGCATGAGGCCCTGGGTTCAATTCCTCAGCACCACATACACAGAAAAAGCTTGAAGTGGGTGCTATGGCTCAAGTGGTAGAGTGCTAGCCTTGAGCTGAAGAGCTCAGAACAGTGCCCCAGGCCCAGAGTTCAAGTTCCACAACCAGCAAAAAAAAAAAAAAAAGACTTATGTGATAACATTTTGTTATTGGTTCTTGAGATAACATTTGTCTATGTAGTCTGGGCTTATGAGTCTTTTAACTCATAATCTTCCGGTCTCAGCCTCCTAAGAACTTGAATCACACCCAACAAAGAATCAGTTTTCTTTGCAGTGTTGAGAATGAAATCTAGGGTCTTAAAATATGGTAGATAAATGGCTTACCACTGAGTTCTATTAGCTCCCATCATCTTTTTAAAAAGGTGTTAAAAATAATCTAACTTTTGTCTTAAGTTAGAATCTTCTAGCATGTGACTTATTAAGCAAGTGCTCCCAAAAGATGGTAGGGAAGACACAAGATTTTAGATAAAGTCACAACCGAAGCTGAATCCAGCTAGATTAGTTTATCCCATTTCTGAACAATGGAGCTAGCTATTTTTCAAAGCTCTTGAGTTGTCTTTATTAGATATGAAGCAATAGATTTGTGTGTGTACGGGGAACTGAAAATATTCACAGGCTCTTCTTCAGAGTACAAAGGCTCTAAAAATTTCAAAGAAAGGGGAGCAAAGGACATAGGTTGAGAGGTAGAAAGCAGTATTAAATTAAGGATATATGGGGCTGGGAAGGTGGCTCAGTGGTAGAGTGCTTTCCTTGCATGCATGAGGCCCTGGGTTCAATTCCTTAGCACCACATAAGCAGAAAACCTGGAAGTGGTGCTGTGGCTAGAGTGGTAGAGCTGAGGGACAGTGCCCAGGCTCAGAGTTCAGGCCTCACGACTGACCAAAAAATAAATGAATAAATAAGGTATGTATGGCAAGCTGGATAGAGTAACAAAGATGCTCTCAATAATATCCCAACCTTTTGATATTACACATTATTTATAAAATACATTAGCTTTCTGATTGTGGGAAGGCTTAGGAATATGGCTTCTTATTCCTTCTAAGTGCAGTGATTTTTTTTGTTTCTCTTGTATGTTCTTCCCCCATAGTATAACCCGTTTTCACTGTATTTGATGTTGGTGCTCTGCATCTTGTATATATTTTTTTCTAATGCTCCATAGGAAATGTACTCATTACCTTACTCATGTAACTGTAACCCCTCTGTACACTATTTTTACAATAAAAAAACATAAAAAGAAAACCCTCTGGATATTATGTAGAAAATAGATATAAGTAGACTCGGGAAAGTGGCCCAGCTGGGTATTTCATGACAACACAAAACAGTGGTGACTTTACTGTTTAGTAAGCTGGGTTTTTTTTTTTGTTGTTGTCGTTTTTACCTCACTTACTTCAGACAAGACACTGGAAAAGCCAGCAACTCCAAAATGCCATGGGATTCAGGCAAAAAAAAAGTCAAAACAAAAACCAATTTTCTCTTGCCAAAGACTCTCTTGAGAGAGCAGGCCACCAAGAAAGAAAACCTTCTGTAAATAATGGCTTTATTGCAGAGGTGCACCAGTTAGCCAAAGGACACAGGAAAGGACAAGAGTTGAGAAATACGATCTAATTGGTTAAGTTTCCTGGACTGGATGGGATGCTAGAGTTAAAGAGGAGAATGTAAAATGAAGGGAAAAAACAAATTTTGGAATGTCTATGATATTCCTATCTCATTTACAGTAAGAACAACTTGGGAACTTTAAAAAAATACAATGCCTCCTAAACATCTCTGGAGATTGAGTAACTTTCTATATGTTTCTAAGATTTTATAGATGATTTTAAAGTGTGAAAAAATGGAGATTTCATAAACAAGAAATGATTTAGAAGACGGTAATTTGGAAATCACTTAGAGGACAGATTCCTGGACACAAGAGTGACCAACCAAATACTGGGTAGCAAGATTGAGCATTCAAAGAAAGTTCTTTCTTGAACAATGAAACAAGAATAAACTTGGAACTAGAACTGGGTTTGAGGACTCCCCAAAAGTTGTGGGACTACAAAAAATTAGGTCAAAAAATGTCAGTGTCTTTATTTTATAGGGTAACAAGAGAGCACTTCAAAGTAATGATAGGACAAACAAAAAAAAAAACCTTACAGTTACATTTAGAACAATCTGAAAACTCACTCTGCTAATTTTACTGTGAAAACAGCAGATGTCTAGAAAATCAACCAATTCTTAAAAGAGTATAAAGCTATCAGGAGGAAAGTATTTAGAGGAAAATCTAAATATAATTCTTAAAGCTTAGACAAATTATGGTTAAAAAATGGAAATGGTCAAAATCACAACTCAATGTTTACTATGTTGTATTGTTATTTGACATTCTAGGGTTTAATAATTGATTAGTTCTAGTACTAACTAGTAATTTTTAAAAATATATTATATTTTATTTTTATTTTTTTGTCAGCTGTGGGGCCTGAACTCTGGGCCTGTGCACTGTCCCTCAGCTCTTCAACTCAAGGTGAGTGCTCTACCACTCGAGCCACAGCGCCACTTCTGGCTTTTTCTGCTTATGTGGTATTGAGGAATCAAACCCAGGGCCTCATGCATGCAAGGCAAGCACTCTACCACGGAGTCACCTTCCCAGCCCCTTAAATATATTTTTTATGATTTGGTACATTCTAAAAAGTTTAAAATAACCATTTTATAATGATAAATGCTCGCATACATGCACAGTGATCTACTCACAAATATTTTAAATTTGATACTGTTAATACTCCTATAATATAAATAAGGCAGTTATCAGAAATACTTTTATGCAGAAGAGCATGAAACAGAAGCTTTGGAAAGTAAATGGTTTGCTCTAGAAGCTCAAGCTTCAATTCACACTCAAGGCATCTGATCCTTGAATTTTTTCTATGGCACACTTGTTTGAGTATGATGCTTATGTGTTAGTGGTTATTTCTGATCAGCCTTAGTGAAAAATTATGCCCATGTGTTTCAAAGTCTGTACAATGTTAAGGTCACATTTATAATAAACAATGAGGAAAAGGGGTTCAGATATTTTTTCATGAATAAAATTGGTATCAGTTGTTTATTCAAGAGGTCAAAAGGGGGAAAACAACTTGTCACTGTACTCCATGGAAACAGGAGTAAATTCAAACTTTCTTCTAAAAGCTGGAGGAACTTTCAAAGTTAGTTTCATGTTACTATGATTTTTAATGAAATGTCCATGATGTAAGGTTGTCTTCAAAGAATGTTGTACTTTGTTTTCCTATTTCATAGAACTGGAAGTTGTAACAAAACAGAGGCATTGAAAGTGATAATTTTGCAAAGATTCTCTTTGTGTTTAACAAGGGAGTATTAAATGAGCAAACATTAAAACATACTGAATAAAGATACAAAACTATTTTTAAAAGTCATGTATACATCAAAATGGGTTTCTCTGAATATAGAGAAATATTGTGTTTCTAAATAGACAATACATGCAAAAAACTCTTATAAAGAGCAGTTTTATAAAATCTACTGGAAACATTTTACCAAAACACTTCAAAGGTAAATGCTAGTAATCTTCAGGGAAGATGGTAGAATTGATTTTTGGGTCATCATCATCATTGTCACTTTCAACTTTTTCATCATTTTCTTCAGGAATACATTGGCCATGTGTTTTTTCTGGTTTCTTTTTCTTGTGAGTATAAGATGACTTGTTTTTCTCTTTGACCTTAGGATGTGAATCAGTGATTGTTTTTTTTTCCAAAGCATGCTGTAGGCAGTTGTAAAACCTGTGAACAATTAAGTATTATTGCAATATTAGTGCACTTTGGAAGTAATGGCTGAAATATATCTAGAACTTCTAGATTATGTAAAACAACAATGTCCTATCATGAGTCTTATAAATAAAAACTGAAGTCATAGAAATAATATGCCTTTTGCTTTTGACATTGCTTAAACAGTAAGTATGTTTTCAGTTCGGAAAAATCCTGACAAGTGGATAGCAATCACTTCTAAACAACATGTATTCAATCTCAAATTTCATACCAGCTATAAGGATCAAGGAAAAGATATTCAAATAAAAAAACACGGAAGTAATGGAGCAGTACAATCAGGAAAGAAAGCAGCAAAGTGATGTAATAGAATTCTTCCTCTTCTGCCATTTGCATCAGGCAAACTATTCATTAATTTCTATTATGGCTTACATATTACCACTCTCTTTTGTTGTCCTTTTCTTTGCCTATCATGAAATTTCCCCTTTCTCTCATACAAAAATTCTGCCTGTAATTTTAAGGCCCTGTTCACTGACTTCTTCCCTGAAGCACTTCTAGAATTCTTTGAATAAAATAAGTTTCCTCTTTGGAAATCCTAGAGTATTCTATCTATCTTTCTTAGGTATTTAACATTTTCCAAGTTGAGTTACAGTTACTTAGGAGACAGTCTGGAGTCTCAATTTATGCTGCTATCGCTATCCCAGCAGGCCCCATTTCAGATTTTTCTCTGGATTCCAATGCCCAGCAGTGCTTTATAAGCACTTACGCATCTTTAATCAATCACCTGTATGATAGAATTAGGGCAACCCTTGTTTTCACCTGTTGCCAAGAACCAAGTAATATCTAGCCTTGGAGAGACTGAAAGCAGAGCTAGACTAGGTCACATAGGGAGTTCCGATGGAACTTGAACTGTAGCTGTGGCACAGCAAAGATCTACCAACAATAGGTCTTGCCAGTCTCTCATTCAGCCATTTACATACCAGTATTAAAAATCACCCATTGCTCAACTCAAGGATTTAAATGCAAGAACTGAAACTACAATTATTTTATTTTATTAACTTTAACAGTAACTTTATTCTCAGGGTTAACCTGTGGATTAACAAACCCCCACATTGCCAACTACTGTGGAAATCATATTCTCAACTACTGTGGAAATCAAATTCATATTTCTCACATGTATCAAAAATCTCACTCAACAATGAGTTCTGGGTTGCAAAAGAGGATTTACTGTTTGCACCTATCTGTAAGGCTTTGTCAAACTCTTTAAAAAAGTATAGGAAAAAGTTTCATTACACTAAATTTGGCAATAATTTGTTAAGTATGACACTCAAAACATATATGACAAAGAAAAAAAATAGATGAACTCTACCTTAATTTTTCATATGTGAAAAAACAGTATCACAAAAAGATGACCCACAAAATTGGAATATCATCCACAAGGAAAAATATATTGATAAGGGATTAATATCCAGAATATAAAGAACTCCTGCATCTCAACAAAAAAGCTGACAATTCAAAATAAACAATGAGTAAAGGACTAGAATCTTTATCCAAAGAAGAAGACAGATAGCCAATAAACACATGAAATGATGTCAAACGTCACTTACTCACTACAGAAATTAAAAGCAAGACTATACTGATACAGCACTTCACCCCCTGCTAGCTTAGAAAATAACAAGTGTTGGCAAGGATCTGTTGCAGTTTCTCACTGCTGGTAATAACATATAATGGTATAGCTGCTGTGAAAAAATAGTACTGAGGCTCTTCAAAAATTAAATGCAGAATTACAATGTGACCTTTCAATTTTGCTTCTAGATATACATCTAAAAGAACTGAAAGCAGGTACAGATACCTGTAAACTGATGTTGAGAGCAGCATTATTCACAGTAAGTAAAAGGTAGAAACTACTCAACTGTCTATGGACACATGAATAAACAAAAAAGGGTCTACAAATGGAAAGCATTTTTTTTCTTTTCTGAAACAGAAGAAAATACTGATATATGCTGTAGCATAGAGGAACCTTTATGATTTCAATGAGTGAAGTAAGTCAGACACAAGAAGACACATACAACTTTACTTTTATAAACTATCTATAGCAGTCAAATTCAGAGACAGAAAGGAGTAGTGCTCTCTAGGAACAGGGAGAATGGGGAGTGGCAGTAACTGTTTAATGGGTACAGAATTTCTGTGCAGGATGATGGAAACATTCTGGAGATGGATAGTGGTAACTGCTACACAGCAACGTCAATGTACTTAATGCCATTGGGAAATTCCATGTTATACATATTTTATCACAGTTAAAAAAAAAGAGTTAAGACATATCAACTCACTAGAAATAGACTCAATTACTTTGTCTTTCATATTCTATTCTTAACAATATTATATGCCAATATACCCAGCCCTTTTATGCTGTGTTTTGTTTAACATTTTCTTATTACATAGCTGATGAAAAGAATTAATCTCATTCATTCATGGTTAATTTCATTCTACTTCTAGACAACTGGTGGTTTCATTGGATCCATATCCTAACCTCCTATTAATAGACACAAAGAAAGCCTTCCTCTTGTAGTTAGTAAATAGATCTGTACACTTTGTATTTTCACCTGGAAATCATTATGTCTGAAATCATCTACTAGGCCTGGTGTCAATCCCTGTCTCTTCCAGTCTCCAAATTCACTGTTTACAAAGCAGGCTGCTCCTCGCAGGCCTTGTCCTGCCCAGCTCCAGAAACCACAGGAACCAGCTGTGCTGCTGGGTAAGTCCCTTCCCACTCAGAGTGGGCTTGGGAACTGTTTTTACAAACATGACTTTCTATTAAAAATACTTCACCTCTTCATTTTGATTTCTACTTTTGCAGACAATTTCTTCTTGCTGAAGTGTTCTATATGAAGATTTTTCAGTAAAGAAAAATTCTCTATAGAGAGTTGAATTGTGAAACTGGTTCTACGACAGAATAATTTTAGTTTTTCCTGTCTGATTGCATAACTCATCACTTCCCATATTTATTATTATTTTTTCTCCTTTCAGCATCAGAAAGCAGCTTGTAGCTTTCTCTGCACTTGGCTGAATATACAGCTGCTCCCAAAACAGCTCCCTAATTTGTTCACATTTTTTGAATTCACATGTAATCGTCTAATCAGTATCTTAAGACATTTTTTACCCTTCTTTAATTTTTCCCTGATTTTATATGATGAGCATAGCTCTCTTGATAGCAGTATGCATACTATAATCTTTAAAACATATTTTTGAGTTAATGGATTTAAAATGTAATTTGATTTTAGAGTTGGTGAATGTAGCTCAATTAACTTCACCAGGTGTATAGTTAGTTGATCTCAGGCTATATTTATAATCTTGTTAAAATTCAAGTAAGGAAACAGAAAGAACTGATTTGCTACTTTCTATGTTTTAGCAAATAGTCTCACTGGATTACTGTCTAATAAATGTATTAAACTTTTGGCATGATATCAGTCAGTTAATAACTAATGTTCAAATCTGTAGGTTGGTGAATAGCTAGTTGTTTTTCAGTTGCTTACCTGGAATCTTTGCTTTTGTTACAATCTTTGTACTTTGGACATTTTTACCAACCAGCTAGGAAAGTAAGCCCAAATGCTTTAAGACATCCACTATATGTAACGAATTAACTTCTCTACAATGTATATAAAATGGTACATTATTATGTACTTTCCCTGGGAGAACTAAGAAAACAGTCATTTAATTTTGTTAATTCTATGCTTCAAATAAGGAAGTGATGTGATGGTACTGATGTGACTCTAGGTTTATTCTCTTTGAGTGAACGAAACAGAAAGGCCACTACTCTGAAAGTTCATCACTGACCAAGAGAGTCAGTCAATGTTTTTTAGCTCTGGCTAGTTTAAGACCTACCCCTTTCTCATGGGTTAGATCTAGAATTGTGATTACTGGCCAACTTAGGAAGGGGTAAAGCTATCATTTGACATCTTTTAAACTTTTTGTACTATTCTTAAAAATAGCTATTTCCCTCAAGTCAGAAAAATTAAGACAGAGTAACCTGGTAGAACCAGACTGAATAACTTGGCAGAATATGATCTGAATCCACTTTTGCCTTTGGAGATTAATTCTACTTCTTTGTACCATGTCACACTAGTACCACTGGAACTTCTAGACTTTGCTGCTTCAAAAAAGTTCTCAATGTTGCCAGGCATCAGAGGCTCCTGTCTGTAATCCTAACTACTGAGGATGTTAAGATAGGAGGATAACGGGTCAAAGCCAGGAAAGTCCATCCCCAGTTAACAACCAAAAAAGCCAGGGACAGGGCCTGAACCCTAAGTCTAAGCTCAAGCCTCAGGACTGGCACAAAAAAAGAAAAAAGAAAAAGTCTAGATATTAAGCCAGGTGAGATGACAAAAGGCTGTAACCCTAGCTGCTTTGGAGGCAGAGATAGGGTGATATGAGTTCAAGGCCAGCCAAGATTTGTTTTCAAAACAGCCAGATACTGGCTGCTGATGCCGGTGACCTTAGCTACTGGGTAGGCTGAAATCCAGAGGATTATAGTTTAAAGCCACCTCATGCAGAAAAACTTGTAAGAGTCCATCCCCAAAATAACTAACAAAACGATGGGCAGAAGGCATGGCTCAGGTGGTAAAGTATCAGCTGAGCAAATATCTCAGTGAACTGGAGACTCTACATTCAACCTTGATACTAATTAGAAAAAAAAATTTGATTCCATCTCATCCAAGTTAGGGGTGTCTTATCCCAGTAAGAGAAAAAGCACAATGGCCAGAGTGTCATGTACCTGTCAGCCACTGCAAACTGGGAAAGCAGAAGTAGAAGACTCCAAGTAGAAAAGCAGTTGAGAATATAAAAATGGTATGGATTAATATTTTCAAAGCTGACATATAAACAAAGGAGGAGGCCACAATGCTCAATAGAAAATGTACTCATTAGCTTGCTCATGTAACCCCTCTGTACAGCATTTTTATAATAAAAACAGTGCAAAAAATAAAGAATAACAGAAATTTTCAGTTAGCTATACCTTTCAATTCTTTTCTTGTTTTCTTCCATTTTTTGATTTGCTATCTTTAATAGGAATTCAATGTATTCTTCTGTCACCATCAGATTTCCCTTATGACTTAATGGAACCTCTAAGCCATGTGTACTCCGGACAGCCTACCGGAAACAAACAAACAAACAACAGTTTAAATTTAAATATAAAGACTAATATGATACAGATACTAAAGATAACTAAAGAAAAGTTCTAGTCAGGGTTGGACTTGAACAGTTTAGTTTTACTATAGCATGTACATCTGTGCTTTGATATAATTTAACTGAACACAGTTGAATAAAGGAAGATTAAGTACATTTCCTCATTATATACAGTCATTCTAAAGAAAGAAATTCTACATTTTGTCTTCTGAGAAGCAGATTGTATCAAAGAATCCAGAGCAGAACTTTTCAATCTTACTATGTCTAAGCTTTAAATCGCAATTTAAAGAAAAGAACTAAATAAAACCTTAAGAGAACCCTCAAGGGAAAATAGAAAAGGGACCAGATGTCACCATTTCTTAGTTCACACAAACTATTTTCTTTCTTCCTCTTTCCTTCCCTTCTTTCCTCCTTCTGTCTCCCTCCCTCTTTCCCTTCTCCCCTCTTTTCTTCCTTCCTTCCTCCCTCCCTCCCTCCCTCTCTCCCTTCCCTCCTTCCCTCCCTTCCTGTCTTCCCTGCCATTTCTAGGACTTGATCTCAGGGCCTGGGCAATGTGCCTAAGTGTTTTTGCTCAAGGCTAGTGCTCTACCATTTGAGCCACAATTCCACTTCTGACTTTTTGGTGGTTAATTGCAGACAAAGCTATCATGGACTTTCCTGCTGGAGCTGGCTTTCAACTGTGATCCTCCGATCTCAGCCTCCTGAGTAGTTAGGATTACAGGTATGAGCTACTGGAGTCTAGCAGTGGCTGTTTTTTTTTTTTTTTTTTTTTCTGTTTTGTTTTGTTTTAATGCTTTAGGCTTGCCAATCTTAGTGGCCCTGGCATAAAGCAGTCAACATATTCCAAATAGATGATAAAGGTAAAAAGAAGAGCAGAAAAAAAGCAAAAATTAAAATTAAAAACAAAACAAAACCATATTATGCAGAGTAAAATAAAAATTCATCTTTGCTGAGTATCTGAAATATTCTAGCTCTCTTGTATGGTGGGAAAATGCAAGAAGAGGAAAAGGGGGCCTCTGCCTTTAAAGCTCACATTTTACAACAGGAAATAAACACAAAAACAAAGAAGGAGAAGAAACACATGCTTGCACACACACTCACATACACATACACAGGTGCTAATAAAACATGAAAGAACAACTAGTCTGAGGACTCAGTTTTATGGGAAATCAGGATTTGAGTTGAAAATTCTTTTTTAATAAAAGTTGCAATTTCACCAGACATACACAGAGGGACCACTCTGGCCACAGAATCACAAGAGAAGAATACAACACATTTGGCAAACAATGACCATGTATGTCTATATGGTCATATAGACATACTTAGTCATATAAGATCTATTAATATCAACATAAAGAGATATTTGCAGTTTTGATAACCTTTTGAATATTAGGAAAAAATCTTAAGAGACACAAAATTTTCAAAGGATTCTGACAGTGTTGGTTGGACTATTACTATCTATAGTACGAAGACTAACCAGAAATAGCTATAGAGAGGGGAGTAAGGAGCAAAGACTGAAGCAGAGGACGTTGCAGAGGTCTGGGGTAGAGTCAGGTGTGAGAAAGGTTTGATAGGATGTGCAACTAAGTGGACACAAAGAACAAAGGAGAAAAAGGTGAGGCTCTGCTTCTGCAGCGGCCACAGATGCAGTGTGGTGGGGACACAGACCAGAACTGAGGGCTTTGATTTTCTATTTAGTCATGCTTCATAGATCTTTTTTTTTTTTGTAAGGCTTCTCTATTTGGAAAATAGGTTATTTGTTAAAAATAGAAAATGTCTAGAGAGCTAGAATAGTGGGTAATCTGATCCAGCTCAAAAGCAAATAATATATACCAGGCCAAACAGTAAATACCACAGGCGATCAGAACTGGGTAAAATAAGTAGGGGTTGGCTCAGTCAGGAAAGGACAAAAAGAATGTGGGATTGGGGGGTATTATAGATCATCTAGTTGACATATTTTTCTGTGAAATAACAGTAAATATTTTTGACTTCATGAGTCATAAAGTATCTGTTCAACTGTTCAATTTTGCTACTATGACACCAAAGCAAGCATATCTAATGGCTAATCAGTAGGGAGAGTGGGTTCTGGCTCCTGCGGCTATACTTGGCTCTAGGATAGTAGTTTGCTGGACCTCTGAGAGGACTGAGAAATTCAGACCTGGGAGGTTAAAGAGCTTGCACAAGTTCCTGGGATATAACTGTAGTCCAGCAGTGTCACTAGGGAACGCTTCACATGCCTACGTGGCCCTTGCTACAACATCATGATGCTTATTAAATTTGGCCTTGACAATTTACAAAAAGGAGAATAGAGAATCACGTAAGCATATTATAAATTAAGACCATAAATGTAAAACCTTTGGCCTTTGCCTTCTGGGAAAGAGACTATGTTATTGTTAACTTTAGAGTAAGGAAATGACAAGAAAAATTGAGTAAGGATAGAATAAGGACAAGAGCCTAGCTAGAAGATTATTCAATTATCAGGACCAATTTACACGCAAAGAATTACTTTTGTCAAAAGGTATCTTACCAACATAGTCTTTCCTCTTTTTCCCACTGTGATGCCAGAGTTCCTGAAACCAGAGTCAATTGCCACTGAATGCTGTAAGAAAATAAAACATTTTATATTCTGGTACTCTAATCAGTTCAGTGCATTAGTCACAGAAGCATAATATAACTCCAAAACCTATTAAGGATTTTTAGCTATATGGACTATGCCTTAAATTCTACTAAAATTCTGACTGGACATATCAGAATATTGGTTTCTGAAGTACAAGAAAGAACACAACTAGAATAAAATAAGACAGAGGTTTAACTAGTGATAGTTTACATACAGCAGAAGATAGCAAAAAGAACTGACTAATTCCTATACTCATGTTATATAAAAGCAAACAAAATTAATTAAAACATCTAAATGCATGAAATTTTCTCTAAGAGTTAACCAAGAATCTTTCCCTGCCCTCCTCAGTACTAGAGATTTAACTCTGAGCTTTGTGTTTGCTAGGCAAGTGCTCTACCACTTGAGTTCTGCCCTCGGTCTGGTTTTCAGATAGGGTCATTAGTTTGAACTCAGGGCCTGGGCACTGTCTCTGAGCTCTTTTGCTCAAGGCTAGTGCTCACCACTTTGAACCACAGCTCTACTTCTGGTTGTTGAGTGGTTAATTGGAGATAAGATTTTCACAGAGACTTTTCTGCCTGGGCTGGCTTTGAATCACAGAGATCATCGTCCTGAATGGCTACAATTACAGGTGTGAGCCACCAGTGGTGGGTGATTCATAAGCCTTTTTGAAATTGCAATAATACTCTGTCTCTTGAGCAGCTGAAACCACAAGTGTATCCCACCACTGGGGCACAACTATCCAACTATCTCAGCCTCTTATGTAGCTAGGGTTACAGACACGGGCAACTACACCCAGGCAGCATTTTATTTTTCTAAAAAAGACTTTGTTGAATATTATTTTTTTAAAAAAAGCATATAAAGCCCCCAAACTCTGAACTTATAAGACCATGTTAAGTTACTTTGCCTGTTATTTTCTAAATGTCTAAAAAGTCTTTAAATGGTGGCCCTGGAGCCTTATGCTTCTCTAGTTCAGTGGGGTTTTTGTTGTTGTTATTCAAGACCAGAACCTACCACTTGAGCTACAGCTCCATTTCTGGCTTTTCAGTGGTTAATTGGAAATAAGTCTAGACTTTCCCACCCAGGCTGACTTCTACTATAATTCCGAGATCTTAGCCTGCTGAGTAGCAAGGATTAAAGGCATGAATCACAGGCACCTGGATTCTAGTTCAGTTCTTACTCTAGAACTATTTTTCCCTTAGGGGACAATTCTATAATGCCTAGAGACATTGGTTTGCCAGCTGCAGAGCTGGGAGTGCTTAAAGGAGAGGAGGCTGGTATATAATGGGTAGTGCATAGGACATTTTGACCCAAAGAATTACTTGGCTCTATATATCAATAGACTGAAACTTGAGAACCTTGCCCTAAGTACATGTTCTCCTTTTGAATTTCTATCCAGTTTCTTGATTTAAAGAACATTTAACATAAATGTTCTTTAAATCCGAACTTCCAGTTCAGATTTCTAGTCTGAACTTGACTGTAACCTTCATAAACTCCTTTCTCATCTCATTCAGTTCTGACTTCAAACCCAATTAGCCTTGGAATTTTCTACCTCATTTCCTATACCCAGTTCCTATTGACTCAACCTTCAAAGTACTCCTCATGCCCTCTCTGGTGTCTATCACCTTCCTCTACACTTTGAATCTCTAGATTAGTCTATCATTGTTGTTTCCTACAATCCATCCTTACAGACCAACCAGTGACAGAACCTATATTCTAAACCAGGCTCTGTAATTTCTATTTGACCTGGCTTGACTGCTGCCTTCATTTCTAATCTAACCTCAACTGGCCTCCCTTCAGATCTGTGAATACTCCAACCCTTTCTTCAGGCAATTTCTCCATTTTTGTTGATCCCTCTACCTGTACTATTCTCAGTAGTTATTATTTTGCTGTATTTGTTATTTCTTATTCCTAAAATAGTTACTTCCTAAAAAAAAATTCCCCAGCTACTTTCTTCAAAGTATATACCTCCACTACTCTCGAACATAGCTCCTTGAAACATCATACTTATTATAATAAGACAATCCCTCCCCTAAAGCACAAATAAAAGCTCATTAAGGAAGAAATAAATTTCCTTTTTCTTTCAACTTTTCCTTAATACCCATGCATGTGCTCAGAGAGTTGTGAATGAGAGACTTTCTCAGTTTCTCCAGTTCTTTTCTTTTCTTTTTTTTTTTGGGGGGGGGGGGGGAGTTCGGTCTAGGGCCTGAACTATGGGCCTGGGCACTGTCTCTCAGCTCTTCAGCTCAAGGCTAGCGCTCTACCACTTGAGCCACAGCGCTACTTCCGGATTTTTTTCTTTTTGCTTATGTGGTGCTAAGGAATTGAACTCAGGGCCTCATGCATGCAAGGCAAGCGCTCTACCACTGAGCCACCTTCCCAGCCCTCAGTTTCTCCAATTCTATTGCAATTAATTCCTCTCTCTGAGGCTTCTGGCTTAGAATATCATGGATTAGCCTTTTCAGTCCTAGCATTCAGAATGGGACCTGGTATGGGAAAAGGAGAGTTAAAAGTTTGGGTTATAGGTTAAGTAATATGTTCTGGTATAATGAGGGCATAACGTAAGGACTTCCAGGGAGAAGTAAGAACTGATGCCACTACAGCTATCTCTTATTGCTCCTGTTCCTCAGCCCTATTCTTTCTCTTTTGCCTTTCCTCTAGAGATGATTTATCTAGGCCCGGTACTTTAAATACTATGTACTGGCATCTTCCCAAAGTGTATTTTCAGTCCACTCCTCTGAGTTCCACATTTCTACCTAAACATCAGTTTGAAATTTTCATTTAGCTGTTGTTATGACTGAACTGGATCTACAGGGCTTCAGAATTTCTACGTTGAAGCCCTAACCCTGAGGTGACTGAATTTCGACATAGGGACTTTTAAGGTACTAAATCAGGTTAAATGAGATTTCTGGTAGGGTTTAAACCAGTAGGTCTGGTATCCTTTATAAGAAGAGATGCTACTGGCATGCATTCTGAGGAAAGGCCATGAAAGGATACAGGATAGGTGGCTGCCTGCCACCCAACAAGAGAGGCCTGAGGAGAAACCAACCTTGATGTTGGACTGCCAGCATCCAGAACTGTCAGACAATGAATTCCTTTTGTTTTAACTCATCCAACCTATGCGATTTTCTTTTTCCTTTTCTTTTAATTGTGAAAATACTGTACAGAGGGGTTACAATTACATGGGCAAGATAATGAGTACATTTAGCAAGCATTGCAGCCTCCTCCTTTGTTTCCCCTTCCCATCCTATGGGATTTTCTTATGGTAGCCCTAGCAAACAGGCAACTGAGACAGCTGTCAATCACATTTCATATCTAATAGATGACCAGAACTTTTGATTCCCACCTATTCAAACTCCAGCACACCCACGTAAGTGGATAAGAAATACAGACACCCAGGTACTCAAGCTACACCTAAGGAGTTATCTTTGATATATTTTTTTCTCCTCCTCTCTCAAGCTGATCTTCCCCATGCAACCTGCCAAATCTGGCAACTGAAACATTAAAATACATCTTGAATCTGCTCCCTTTTCACCCTTTACAGTACTGTCATGTTAGGCCAAGTCATCACTATTTCCCATTGTCTTCCTATAGTGGACCAAAACTGAGGGTTTTAGGACACAATTCTTATCAAGCTGCTCACCCTCAGCCTTGTAATTTTTACTTGTACTAGGAAAGCAGCCCCATTTCTTCTTCCTGGTCTATGAGGCCCTAAACAACCTGTTCTCATCTCTTATCTTTCAGGTGGTTCGCCCCTTAGGTCCAAGCTCTTTCCTGCTGACAGTACTATTATTTTCCTTCGCTTGCACTATTAGTCTTTTTGCCACTTTTCAGTCTTAAAGAAACAGGCCTGTGTGAAGATTTCCTTTTATGCTATTCTCTATCATCAGCTTGGTGCTCCCTGCCCCTCAAGGACTCTTTGTTCTTACAGTTCTCATTTTCTTTATTTTCCTGTGCAGTGTTTAATTTTGCTATCTTACCTTAAGAGATGGACCAAGAACCTCTCCAATCTTACTCATCATTGGTGAGGACCCCTAATGCCTGTTAAATGGGTCTCAGTACTTTGTTACTAATGAATGCTTATAAGGCAATTTTATGTGTAAGTCACAAAAGGTATAAAAATGAACGGGAGGATAAACTAGAAAATCCAAACCAGGGCTGGGAAGGTGGCTCAGTGGTAGAGCACTTGCCTTGCATGCCTGAGACCCTGGGTTCGATTCCCAGCACCACATAAGCAAAAAGAAAAAAGCTGGAAGTGGCGCTGTGGCTCAAGTGGTAGAATGCTAGCCTTGAGCTGAGGGACAATGTCCAGGCCCAGACTTCATGCCCCATGACCGGACCCAAAAAAAAAGAAAATCACAACCAAGCAGATGCTTAATACTAATTCAAATGATGAGAAAGTTATGAGTAAGGGACAAAAACAGAAGCCATAATCTGGATGCTATATTTTCCTAGATTATTTTTCTTTCTAACACTAAAAATAAATAGATTAATCAGACGCATGGACAGATAATTAAATAAAACAAAACTGCAAAACAATCTAGCCACTGATTATTTTTATAGGTAACTTAATGCTTAAAGTAAGATAATTCAAGTGCAATTACAAATATTTACCAGAATCTGTGCATCCTCCAACTGCCGACACTGCACATGAAGGACTAATGGTTCAAATTTTAAGATGGCATCACCATTCGCTTTCTTCAGAGCTACCATCTAAATAAATGAAATGTGATAATATTAGATGCAACTATACTGTCCTGTCCTTTGGTCACCTTTCACCTTTATAGCTAGCTTTAGTTTTTCCTAGAAGCTTTCAGGTCCAATTCATCCTATTTCTTTAATAACATTCCCTTTGCTTTCTTGGCCCTCTTTCATTAAAAACTTATTAATTAGCTTATTTTCGTAAATGATTTGATTCTAACTCTCCCATAAACCATCTGTATCATTTTTCCAATCATTGCTACACCCTGAAAAAGTAAACCAGTAAATTATTTAATTCCAGGAGTGTGGCACACAAAAACCACAATGGGAAGACAAAATTCTTTGTGGATTAAGGCAGACACAGGTATTGAGAGAAGTGTTCAAGTAAGGCCGGGCACCCTTCCTTTCTTCCTAGAAGGACTCAGAGTTGGATACAGGATCTACTAGTAAGCTAAGCTATCATAATGCATACAAAGAACTCAGGTCACAGCTAGTACAGTTCTGTTTCTTCCGTACAGGGAACAAAAATATTTTCTTGGAATGATTTACCTACATGTGCAGTCCCAGTAGAGCAAGTTCAGTATACTTTTGCTGCAGCACAGAGCTAGATGCATGCAGTCACAGCCCATCAGATCTGCTAGGCTGGCGCCTGACACATCACAAAGTGCTGGATTTCATATCATTTCTTTCTAGCTTTAAGTAAACATTATACCACTCGAGCCTGTGTATTTGCTGTCTGTTCTAAGAAATCCTGAGTTATTCACTGGCTTCTTCCTTGAGGGGTACTTAATTGCCTTTTGACCTTGGCTGCCCTATTATAGTTTATTGTGCAGCACAGCCTAGTGAAACACATTAATATGTCAAAGCTAGCATTTGTACGAGTTATTTCTGCCTGTCGAGCATTTTTTGGGCAATACTCTCCTTCTTTCCTATTTGATTCTGCTGGGACCATCAATTCTGACCTTATCACTCATCACTATCCATATATGTCAGAAGCCTCAGATGCCTATGCCTAAGGACATCGTGTCATATCACATCATAGCTTCATAATTGATCTACAATGGAGAACACCTCATACAGGAAAACCAAAGAGTCCTTCCCTGGGATGGATACACGAATATAAGGAAGTCTTATGCTGGGACTTCTGGCAGCTGTCACTTTTGCCACAAAGATTTTCTGCAGCAGATGAAAAGGGCCAACATGCAGAGAAGCCAGTTCCCAAAGATGGACACTGAGGAAGTGCTTGGAAGACAAGATTTGAGTACCTGAAGCAATAATGCCTGACTCCAGATCCATCTCTTTCATTTTTAGTATTTTAATCACCTTTTTTGTCTGACATGAAATTGGATTTCTAATAATCATTGGGAATGAAGCATTTGCTAACTTATATGAACTCATTAAACACTTCAATTGGGGAAACTGAGCACAGAATATATGAAAAATTTCTAGTAGGAATCCACATAAGTAATGTGTAACTTATTTCCAATACTGAAGGTGGTAATATTAGCACAGATGTTATCCTTTCTCCTTCTATAATTTGTTCCAAGTTATAGAGTCATTAAGTGGCAGGACTGAAATTGAAAATTTGGATCCAATGTGTCCAACAGTTTTATAAACTTTCTGATATGCATAAAGTTGTGTTTGTTGAGGTACAGTATGAATGCATGCATAATTATTTATGCTTTCACACATTTTTATCTCCAAAAGCCCAAACAAGCCACAGTAGTAAATGCTTTATAGATTTATAATATTCAGCCATTAAAATAATATGTACATTTCACCTTGAATGTTCAATTTTTTTCATATAAAAGTAACAGTGGACAGGCATGGTAGTGCTCCAGCCTCAGGACTCAGGAGGCAGAGGCAGGAGATTTTGAGTTTAAGGTTAGCCTTTACTACACAGCAAAGACCCAGTCATAATCAATCAATCAATCCATCGATCCATCAACATTTTTTAAATATTTGTGAACTTGTTTATTTATAAGTATATAAAAACTTACCACATCATCTTTTACACAAGGTTTGTGTGAAACCAGTAGCCAGCAACAGTTTTGTTTCTGAACCTCAAAACCGTTTATACCCTAAAATGATAATTTAAATATTTATAAATATTAGTACAAGACAATATGATATTTAAGCTTGGTTACATTAATAATGTGAATTAGCTTTATCAAAAACAACTCAATAAATTTTGAGATAAAAAAACTGAACCCAAATAAGTTGACATATGACTGAAAAAGTAAAGTACTCAATGCATAAGTTTTTGAAATATAGTCATGAAATATAGTTTATACCCTAAAATGATAATTTAAATATTTATAAATATTAGTACAAGACAATATGATATTTAAGCTTGGTTACATTAATAATGTGAATTAGCTTTATCAAAAACAACTCAATAAATTTTGAGATAAAAAAACTGAACCCAAATAAGTTGACATATGACTGAAAAAGTAAAGTACTCAATGCATAAGTTTTTGAAATATAGTCATGCATTAGACTTTATATATAGTCTAAAGTGAAGCAAGGACAAAAAGTCTGTGTTTAAAGAAGGCAAACATTTAACAGTGACTTAAACTTGACAAATGTTTATTTGCACAGTTCTGTTAGATATACACAGATCCTACCCTGAATACACTGGAAAGACAATGTAGGAAATCACATGCACAGAAATTACTATACTTCTACAAAGTAACTATTATAATGGTGGACAGGAGATTGCTGTCTGGCCTTTGCAGCTGTATAAGCATTGAGTAACTTTGGTTTCCACTGTAAGACTTCAGTGATTTATGAATGTAACCTTGTGCTAGTTACTGTCTCAGAGGCAACAGTGTGGCCTTACTAAGTTTACAGAATTTAATGGAATGATTTGGAAACTAATGATCTACTTAATTCATCTAAATTTTCCACGTTGTTTTCTTTTTAAAAGTCACTCCAAATCCTGAAATAAGAGAAAAAATAAAGTGCAAGAAAAGAAGAAATTAAATAGAGACTCAGATAAAGTCCTAAGCCAGTTCAAAAACAGTAATTATTATCACTTATAAGAAGATAGTATGGCTTTATGTAAGTGTATGTGCATGTTTGGGTAAAGGAGGGGGAGATTTGGAAAAGTTCCAAAGGCAAGTTAAAACGATGACAAAGGAAGTTCAATTTTAGTAATTAGCTAAGGTGAAGTGTACGGGAAAATAAGAGTTAAAAGGTACAGTACAGTAGAGGCCTGGATTTCTAATGCAAAAAACATACAATGAAAGTCAGTGAGTTCACACAGTATTCTGCTTTTAAAAGGCCAATCTGGTCACTAGAGATGTGGTCTATGCTTGCAATGCAAATTCTCAAGAAAGAGAAATGAGAGAAACTGTAGCCATCCCAGGAGAAAAAAAAAGCTTGAGATTCTGAGAAAAGAACTAAAAGCAAAAGGGTGTGGCTCCAGTGGTAGAGCACTAGTGAGTGCTACCTTTTACTACCTTTACCTCTGTAGGGTGAATCCATTAGCGTGTAACATGGTTTGGAGAAGGGAGAGCAGACTGACTGGGAAACACTGCAAGAGTGTTTAGGATGCAAGTGAGTTAGGATGGTAGAAGGGAGAAGAGAGACCACAAATGGGCAAGATTGCTCAAGACGCCACGGAAATAGGGCGAAAAGAAATAAGCCTTGCTAATTTGGGAAATCAGTAAATCATCAGCCAATTCTGGGCCTAAAGAATGAGCCTATGGATCTGCTATCTTGAATGATCTAATAAAACACTCAAGAGAATTTTTTTGTCGGTCGTGGGGCTTGAACTCTGGGCCTGGGTGCTGTTCCTCAGCTCTTCAGCTCAAGGCTAGCGCTCTACCACTTGAACCAAAGCGCCACTTCCGGTTTTCTGGTGGTTTATTGGAGATAAGAGTCTCACAGACTTTCCTGCCCGGCCTGGCTTTGAACTGTGATCCTCAGATCTCAGCCTCCTGAGTAGCTAGGATGACAGGCCTGAGCCACCGGCACTGGGGCCAGACAACGACAAACGTCTTAGTACATGATGTATTTCTTCCACACAGAACTCTTATCCTCACCACCTTCGGTTCTTGAGGCTGGAAGGGGCTGGGTTTCTAAAACTCTCCGCACTGCACATACAGGTTTGGTTCCTATGGTAAGTACACACCCGCCGCTTTTATTACTGCACTAGCGGGGCTGTACGAGTGGAGCGGAACACGGAGTCAGCCAGCTTCTGAGGGTCACCTGCGGGCAGGAGGAACCGACTTGCTAGAGAGATGGAAGTGGACTTGGCCGGGGTGGCAGGTCTTTAAACTACTCTAGCACGGACTGCGGGACGCCGGTGGCCCGCGCCAGTCATCCTAACCGACTCCCGAGGCCGAGAGCTGGGAATCGCGGTTCGAGGTCCGCCGGGGCAGACAAGTCCGTGAGGCTCGTACCCCCCCCCCCCCCCCCCCCGTTAACGAGCACCCGGAGCCCGGAAAGGCGGCCGAGGCTCCAGGCGCTAGCGCGCGAGCCCTGAGTTCAGGCCACAGGACGGGCATAAAAATAACCGAGCTCCGGCAGCGCCGGATCCCCGCAGCCGGGTCGGCGCTGTCCTCTGCGGGTCACGAATCCAGTTACCGAGACCCGCTAGCCCCAGGGCCGGAGGCCCGGGAGAGGAGGAGGCGGTCTGGTCGGTGTGGGGAGCGCGCGCCGCGGTCGGGGTCGGGTCGGTGTGGGGAGCGCGCGCCGCGGTCGGGGTCGGGTCGGTGTGGGGAGCGCGCGCCGCGGTCGGGGTCGGGTCGGTGTGGGGAGCGCGCGCCGCGGTCGGGTCGGTGTGGGGAGCGCGCGCCGCGGTCGGGGTCGGGTCGGTGTGGGGAGCGCGCGCCGCGGTCGGGTCGGTGTGGGGAGCGCGCGCCGCGGTCGGGTCGGTGTGGGGAGCGCGCGCCGCGGCCGGGTCGGTGTGGGGAGCGCGCGCCGCGGTCGGGGTCGGGTCGGTGTGGGGAGCGCGCGCTCCGCGGACCCCAGGCGAGGGCGCGGCGGCGGAGGGGCGACGCGAGGCCTCACCCCTTCCAGGAGCAGGACGCGGCCGGCGCAGGAGCTGGTGGTGACAAACTGCTCCCGAGAGTTGAGGAGCCGCACGAGCTCCACCACGTCCTCGTCCACGCTTCCTTTGCGGCTCAGGTCGGCTCGGTTCAGACGCTGCGCCTTCCACCGCCCGAACTCGGCGCTGGGGTCCACGGACGCGCGGGTCAGACCGCGGCCCGCGGGGCAATCGCGGCTGTCCAGCCGGCTCCCGGGCGCCGCCATATTGGGACGGACGGTGGCCGCGGAGGTCCGGACTTCCTCGTCGCTCCGCGACCTCGAGGGAGGCGGAGTCGCGAGGTGGGTGGAGCCTGAGAAAGTTGGCAACGGCCAGCCAGCTGTGGCCCTGCAATCCCGGAGGGCCGAGCAGGTTCCCGTCCCCACTCTAGAGACAGGTAAGTGGTTTAAAAAATAGAAAAAGATGTCCCCTTAGTTGCATAGGTTGCTACTTTCCCCCTGGCTGTTTCCAGCGGAGTCTGTGGATTTTTTTTTTTGGTGCACTTCTCTCCCATTTTGCCCCCCTTCCCCGCAACACACACACAGACAGACACACAGACAGACACACACAGAGACAGACAGACAGACAGACACACACACACACACAGACACGCAGACAGACACACTGACACAGACAGACACACACAGACACACACAGACACACAGACACACAGAAAGACACACAGACACACACAAACACACAGACGCACACACAGACAGACACACAGACATACACAGACACACAAACAGACGCACACTTTCCCCAGTGCAAAGGAGAAGCCATTCTGCCAAGCTTCTCCTGGGCTGCAAGGGCCTAGCAGCAAGTCACCTGGGGTGTCTTCCTGGACTCCCAGCCCTGGGTTCCAGTGGGATCTGTGGGCTGCAGTGGGATCTGTGCTTAGGCTCTCACAGCACCGCACCGGGCCCTGGGAGGGCGGGGGGAGGGGGGGAGTGAGGGGGTGTTCCTGCAGCCCCACCCCACCCTTACCAGCCCAGGGCAAACTGCTGGAAAGCATTCCTCCAGGTTCCTACAACCCTAAGTCTCCCCAGCTCCCTTTCCTCCTGAAGCCTCCAGCCTGCAAGCAAGGGTAGCAGGCTCCTTTGGGAGAGAAATGTGTATAACTTTATTGACCCAGTGCCCTTCACCTAGAATAATTTTCGAAAGAAAAACGGCAAAAGAAAAAAAAAAAAACGGCAAAAACACTGTTGATCCTTGGTTGTGTGTCTACTGACTTCTTAGAGTTCAGTGTGGCTCAGGGACCATGCATTAGCGATTGAACCCTGTGAAGGCTACTGTTTGGAATGCTTGTCCTTTTCTATTGTGAATGGCAGTGAGTCAACAGGCCTCCTGCACTTGTGTCTGCTCATTGCTCTAGTAAAATCATCAGCTAAACTCTCCCAATGCTGGAGAGCAGCCTGCCCCTCAATCAATCCAAATTTAACCCCTCAGACGCTTAGGGGTTCAGAATTAAGGATTTACTTACTCCCCTTATCGAATGGGCCTTCATATCCACATTGACAAGCAGAGAATTTTCTCTAGCCACCTTAATTTTGTTTTTAATATATGTATGGAAATGGAAGTGTGGCACAAGTGGTAGAGTGCCAGTCTGGAACAAAACAGCCAAGCAAGAGTTTAAAGCTGTGAATTCAGGCCCCAGGCCAGCATAAAAGAAAAATTTAGCCATGCACTGGTGGCTCACACCTGTAATTCTAGCTACACAGGAGGCTGAGATCTGAGGATCACACTTCAAAGCCAGCCCAGGCAGGAAAGTCCCTAAAACTCTTACCGCCAATAATCCACTAGAAAACCGGAAGTGCCCTGTGGCTCAAGAGCTAGAGCACTTGCCGTGAATGAAGAGGGTAGGGACAGCCCCCAAGCCCAGAGTTCAAGCCCCACGACCGACCAAAAAAATAAGAGAAAAAAATAAATACATTTTCTGGGTCATGAAGAATAGGTCTATATAGATCCAGTGCCTCCCTAGCAACTTCAAAATCCTGACCTCAGTATGGTCAGACAATAAAAAATGAAATAGCTATCAAAATAAGCCAAGGTCCATAGATCATTCTTGTTTAAAAGCAGCATATCTTTCCAAGTTTACATTTAAAAACATTTTTCCTAATAATTTCTTGATTTTACTTACCTCATAAATGTGCCATGTTTCTGGCTTTGTGAATTAATTCATTCTATATTAAAGTATACACTTCTATCATCTTTCTTAGATGTTTCATTTAACGTAGCCTGGAAAAAAGAAAATTACTGTTAGAAGAATTTTAAACTTATCAGTAGAATTGGCAACTTTTTAGTGGTAAATTAAAAAATCAAAAAAATTAAAACAAAGTTCTCCAAATGATTTTCAAATAAATAGATTAATTACTTAATTAAAAGGCTTGTTTGAACCACAGTTTTTTGTTTTTTTTTTAAGCACTATCAAACCAAGTCAGCCCTGTTCATTTTGGGAACACAAAGGATTTAACCTCAACTTTATGTCTAGGTATGCTGCCTGTCAGATGTGCTGTGAACATCTGTGGGTGTTGCAATTCACCTTCACAAGAATCTCTTTTATAGATAAGAAAATTATAATTAAAAATTATAATTATAACACATCTTTTGTGTTTCTACTGGAGTTCCTGAGTTACATACATTAAAAATTTTTGAATTCTTAAGTAGATGCCTTAAACATAAAGTATGTGATCCTATTTATATCATATTATTGTCCTTCTAAAATTTGTAAAGCAAGAGTTTTGTGGAAAGTTGTAGAAAGCCAGCCGAGAATGCTTGAAACACTAAATTTAAACGCCAGTATGGCTATGAGAAAAATAAAATAATATGGTATTTTTTTCTAGGTAATTATAGGTGATCTCTGCTAACATTTCAAAGGGTGAGATTTAAAGGATCACATAGTAAGGAAAGAAAAAAAATCAACTAAAAACATGTAAGGCATAGGACTTGCATTCTAGCTCTGCTTCAAGTCTCTAAACTTCTGATGTTTTCTCATTCATGAAATGAATGGCGATTTTATTTTTACTTCTCCATGAAGAAACAGTCTTAATTAGTATCAATTTCTACTCGAGAAAATAATTAAATCAATAGAAAGTGATTTAATTACTGACACTTTTTAAATAAAAGATATTGTTGGTCTTTGAGAATTATCATAATTACTGTTGGTGTGTCATGTTGTTTTATTCTTTTTTTTATGATTCTCTTTGATAGAGGGCCAGTATTATGAAACAGATGCTGCTGCTGAAGTTGAGTTCAAAGGCAATGAGCACTGACTGGAGCCTGATCAATCAGAATGGCAAAGGCTCAATGGGAAAAAAGATCAAGAGAAGCAGGGTAGAAATTAGTGCTGTCAAGGTCATGCTCTATCTCCTTACAAGCACTGTAAGACAGTGTGGTATGCTGGGCAAGGCAGGTGGATTCCTAAACCCAATATTAAGTCTTATTCTTTCATTGCTCCTTTCTCTCACTTTACTCAGTGCCAAAATGTAAGAGAAATAAATATGTAACGTACAAGATGCAGGTCCTATTTCAGGCTAATTTTGGTTTTATTAATTGTCCAATACTATATTAATTATATATAATGACTAATAATTGTATTATTAGTCTGTACAAAAAGGAAAGGCTCAAAAAGTTGATTGCCTTGCTGGAGGCCAGTGGCTAGTAGATGATAGAGCCTGGATTCAAACCCAGAACACTTAGTATGTCTATAGCTGACATACTTTTGGTGACACCTTTCACTTTTTGTCTAAGAAAATCCCAGTTTGAGTGATGCCTTTAATACACAGTAGTGAAATATCTAGTAAGATTGGCCAAACTTGTGCTGGTCTGTGTCTGACATGTCTTCCTGCCGTCAGGACTGCCTCCTTGCTTCTACTGTGCATTTAGCTCATGTCTTCTTTCAGCTGAGCTGCTCTTTGGCGGCCTGTTTTGTCAGGGTACATTACTGCTAATGAACCTTTGGAAATTTCACTTTCTTCTTTGTGTTAGGCACTGGTTTAAATCACTCAACCAGAGGATTTTAAAATGATGCAGATTTTGATTGTATCAAGAACTCCTCATTAATAACACCAGTTAAATGCTTTTGATCCCCACCCTCTTCCCCGCCGCCCTCCCCCCCCCCCCCCCCCCCACACACACACACATGGAATGACATTTTGTAACCAGTATTGGCTGTGTTCTGAGGAATCATGTGCTGAGCTCTGGTACAAAGTCTGAATTCTTTCATCACAGGTCCTAGTCTAACTCTCATATATTTAAACTACTTTTATTTGAGAGACATGATTAGTTCAGAAGTTAGCAAAAATGTTCTAGGTGATGGCAGGACTTAGCAATATTGGATTTGGGTTAGGAAATTATGATAATCTACAATTAAAATTATGGAAATATAAGCAAAACCCTTTCATATATTTCTACCAATATAGGAGAATTTCCAAAGTTATATGATTTTATACACTAAATATCTTTCACCTTTTCTTATTATTTGTTTATTGTTATTATTAAGTAGTTGTATAGAGGGGTTACAATTCCATAACCCAGGTTATGAGTATACTGCTTTTGTAATGTCACCCCTTCCTTCGCATCCCCCATTTCCCCCTCCCCCCAACCCACAAGTTACATACTACAGTTTTTATGTAGTATACATTGAATACAATTACTGCACTGTATTTATCTTTAACTATGAGTTTTCTTTTCAACTTATTATTTATCTTTAACTATGAGTTTTCTTTTCAATTTATTATTAACAGTGGTAAGACAAAGTTGGTTGAGCTCTAGCAAATTGCAAAGGTTGTATCCAAGCTGTGTTTCTCACCTTTTAATATCTTCTCCCTTTTATTAACAACATAAATCCAAGTGTTTCAAAAAAAATAATTCTCAAAAACGTGACACTGAAAGGACAATGTAAACTGCAGAATTAAATATAGCACAATCTAAGTAAAGTTTAGAAGAATTGCAAAATAATAACACATATTAGCCAATTGCCAGTGTGCATGCCTATAATCCTAGCTACTTAAAAAGTTGTCAGGTGGATTGTGGTTTGAAGCAGTCTGGACAGAAAAGTCCTTGAGACTTCATCTCCAAAATAACGAATGCATTGTTGTATAATGCTTGATAAGAAATGTACTCATTATCTTGCTCATGTAATTGTAACCCCTCTGTATGGTATTTTCACAATAAAAAAAATAACGAACGCAAATCTGGTTTGGCAATGTGGAGCTAGTGGTAGAGTGCCAGCTGAGCA